GTTGAGATGTTGTTGTTTTTGTTGCTGTTGTTGTTTTTTCGTCCAAACTTGACAAATCCTTCATTTTGTTATTCAACTCATGCCAAGCAATCTAACAACCGTGGTTAATTTTTTCATTGAAGTTAGTAAAATGACAAATTTTTATTCTTACCAAACCCAAAATAATGAATGAAATTTTGAACCTCTGAACAAATAACAACGAACATTGTACCAAATTTAAAAAAAAAACATAAAACATAAATACCAACCACAAACAACAGCAAGCTTCAACACAACAACAACAAAAACAACTAAGAATATGAACAACTACAAAAAACAACAACAACAAAGAATATAAACAACAACAACAAAGAATATAAACAACCACAAACAACAACAAAGAATTTAAACAACCACAAACAACAACAGCAACAAAACATAAATAACCAAAAATATAAACAATAACAAAGAACAACAACAAAAATAACATAGAATGAAAAACACACAACAACAATAACAACAACTAACAACAACAAAACAGCATTTCGCAAGGCAACACCTGACAATTTATCAAACCGACAGATGGGTTAACATCGTACGAGATGATGGATGGAGCGATTGGCTTCGTGGACGAATATTACGATGGTGACGTCATTCCAATACTCACAACAACACCTCCACCACCATCATCATCATCATCAACGTCTCTACCATCGTCATCGTCAGCAGCAGCAGCAACAGCAGCAACAACAACGTCGTCATCTACATCATCTTCATCCTCCTTATCTTCATCTTCTTCTCGCTTCTTAAGAAATGGTCTTGGGTCACTATCTGATTACATTACAGTTTCTGCCAACTCACTAACTTCATCATCACCATCAACTTCATCATCATCACCATCAACTTCATCATCATCATCATCAACTTCATCATCATCGTCGTCGTCATCATCGTCACCGGCGTTAATATCTGAAAAAATAATAGCCTGGAATAAATATGAAATTATTAAACTTACGAAAGCAGACTTAAGATCATTATCATCATCTGCCTCAGCATCATCGCCATCATCATCATCACAGTCACCTACGTTATCATCACTATCATCATCATCGTCATCATCGTCGTCGTCGTCTTTTAAAGCGTGCCATGAATACGTCAAGATAATATTTAAATTCAGCAGCATTCGACAATTCACTGGCGTTAATGTATCATTCGTCTCAAATATCATCATCAGCTCCAGTCAACATTTTCACAACAACAACAACAACATTTTCAACGCCACTAGCAACAACAACAACAAAAAACA